ACACACACACACACACACACACACACACACACACACTGGGATACCGGGAGACACGTCTGACTTCACCGGAGTACAGAGAGAGGAAAAAAGTAATCTCAATGGGACTCGCACACCCCTGACTAAATCTGTCGCAACAGAAAAGGTAAAAGCATTCACAAACAAAACATGCCGGTTTTGACCAGAACCGGTTTGGATCAGCACAACAACACAAAGACCAAGTGTGGTTTTAAAAGAGATTATTGTAATTAATCAATCTCTGGTGTAGGTCTGGGTCCCGGGCTGGGTACAATCTGTCAAGACAGAAGTGTTAGTGATCTTGGATTGACTGGGGAAGTACAGATGGGTACTGGGGTTACTGCTAACCTTCTGTCTTGATGGCGAGGCAGGAGCTTTTGTCACGCTGGAGCCAGTGACGTCACTCATGCAGAGTGAGCTGCTACAGTGGAGCAGACTGAAGACTTTGTGATCCAGGTAGGGAAGATCAGATATGTGGTCCGATGGTCGTAGCAGGGGTCAAGCATGGGGAAGCAGAGAGCAGAAGCCAGAGCCAAATCGTAATCCATTCCGTAGACGTGGTCAAAAAGGGGAGCACAGCGTCGTAAACCGTGGTCAGATGAGCAGATATTAAATCCAAAAGGGTCAGCCAAGGCGAGGAGTCAAAAGGCAGGCAAGGGTTCGTGGCAAGGCAAGAGACAAGATTGAATGCTGAATTTCTACTACTAAGAAAGGTTTGAGAATCTGGCGCTGAATAAGGGAGGGATAGGAGCTTATGAAGGACAGAGAACAGGTGGAGAGTGTGAGCTGAACAGGGTGTGGTGCAGAGTGGAGGTAATTGAGTGACAGGAGCTGAAAATGATTGGCAGGGAAGCAAAAACATGAAACATGAGAAACTGAGGCAGAAGAAGGGGGCAAAACGTGACAAGTAGGGGGCAAAACGTGACAAGTTTACCAGATATGACTTGAATGCTCAATTTTCTTTGGGTTAAATCAATTTAGTGGGATCACACTTGGGGGACTAACCTGGAATACACATACCATACCATACCATACCATTTTATTTATAGAGCACTTAAAACAGCGACAAGGCCAACCAAAGTGTTGTACAGACAGAACAACAGGCAACACACAAAGCAAAATTCAAAATGAAGTAAATCAGAATATAGAGATAAAAACGATGCAGATAATACATATGATGACTAACCTGTGTGAAGCAAACAGGTTCAAAACACAGATCCTCTGGTGTTGAAAGCTACTGAATAGTAGTGGGTTTTTAAACAGGATTTGAAAACCGAGAGGGAGGGGGCCAGTCTGATAAGCAGAGGTAACTCATTCCAAAGTCTTGGTCCTGCTACAGAGAAGGCCCTGTCACCTCTGCGCTTAAGACGAGTTCCTGGAACTGTGAGGAGCAACTGGTCCGCTGACCTCAGGGAACATGGTGGGACATACGGCTGTAGCAGATCAGAGCGATTGGGGGGGGGGGGGGGGGGGGTGAACTGTTCAGCGATTTGTAGACATACAGGAGTATCTTGAACTGGATTCGAAGGTGAACGGTAACCAGTGCAGTGAGGCCAAAACTGGTGTAATGTTCTCTCTTTTGCCTGTACTGGTTAAAAATCGGGCTGCTGCATTCTGGACAAGTTGTAGTCGTGCAATGGAGGTCTGACTGATACCAAACAGGAGCGAATTGCAGTAATCAAGCCTAGATGTAACGAATGCATGTATTACTGTCTCCAGGTTATTTTTGGATAATATGGGCTTCAGTTTAGACAGCCGCCTCAGTTGGAAGAAACATGATTTAACAATCATGTTTACGTGACTGTTAAGTTTCAGGGAAGGGTCCATTATTACTCCCAGATTAGTGACTATGTTTTTCTGACAAGGATAGAGCGGAAAGGTCGATGCAGTGGTTTGTGATTGTGTCGTTGGGAGGGAACAACATGACTTCAGACTTCTTTTCATTGATACTTAAGAAATTTAAAGCCATCCAGTCCCTGATGTCAGCCAGGCAGTCGAGCAGAGGTTGAATAGAGCATGTACCATTGTGTCTTAGGGGGAAGTAAATTTGACAGTCATCGGCGTTTAAGTGAAAGTGTATGTTGTGTTTCCGGAAAATAGCACCAAGTGGCAGCAGGTATAAAGAGTATAGGAGGGGGCCCAGGAGGGGGCCCAGGATGGACCCCTGCGGAACCCCCCATTTAAGCTCTGTCGCTGCAGAACTAAAATCCTTGATATCCTTGAAATCCACGTGGTCTGCTTAGTATGTTTATTAGCATGTTAACTTTTGTAGAGAACTTGAAGTAAGCGAGTTCAAACACACTTCAGTCCCTGCTTTGCTTGTTTCACTAAATTCAACTTAATTAGGTCTAATTAAACCTGATTAAATCTAATGAAGTTCTCCGACACAGGTCCATCCTCCCCAACATGGATGCTACTAGAGATCCTACGTGTTTCAGGTACATTTGAAGTAATTTGTGCCAAGGTAGAATGAGTTGTTGTTATATTATCACTAATAACTTAGAATATGCATGGAAGTTCTTATCACCACCAAAAATAAAAGGGAAGTTTCTAGAAATAAGACATTCATTGGTGAGCCTAGGTGGACAGGAATTAAGAGACTACATGAAGTCTGGGCTGGGGCCTTGAGTTTTGGTTAGGTTGACCCAGAGCATTCTCCCTGATGAGTGACAAGTCAGAGATAAACTGTAGTGATGCACAAGGAATGTATAAAAGCGTCTGTGTAAATCTGTACTTTTTTTTTTTTTATTTGATGCCGTTTGGCTGATCACTACCGTTAAACCCCCATCTTTGCCATCAGTTTCAGTGTCATCTATTTTTTACTTATGTAATTAAACCCCAAAATTATCAACCCATAATGGGGATGTTTTTACAACAGAGTGCTAAAATAGTTTGAAAAGGAGGAATCCATTTCATGCTTTTAGACAACCTGATACTGTAATTCATTCTAGAAGAGGTACATGTAAATTAATCTGGCTAACTTGAATTCAAAAGTTGGTCATCTCTAAAGTGCCTTTTTGAGGCCCAGTATCAATTGTTCTAGATTAAGGCTAAGTCTTGGTCTAATCTGAACCCCTTTTGCCAAATAGCAAAATAGGGTTTCATTGTGACATTTTGCAATTTGGCAAAAGGGGTTCAGATTAGACCAAGACTTGGCCTTAATCAACAACAATTGATATTGGGCCATTAAATAAGTAACACTCAAATTCACTCCGTTTTGGTGATGAATAAACTCCCCTTCTTATGGTACACTGGACTCCATATTGTATAGATTATACTGTCAGTTTATTTTAGTTAATAGAAGTGCTATGGGTAAATGGTATTGGTAAGAGTTAATTTATACTCTCAAGTCAGTGTTAGAATTTTACACTATTCTGGTGTTTCTTTTTTTTAACTCCAATGTTGGTTCTACACTGGGAATTTGGCCATATATGTATATATGCCTCTTTTATGATTGTCTATTGTTGTCATTGCTATCCACTGTTGTCATCACTCTTTGTTAAAGAAATCAGGTCTCTTGTAAATGAGTCCCCGAGGCTCAATGGGATTAACCTCTATAAATAAAGGTTGAATAAATATGACCACTAAGATTAGTGTAAACTTTAATCTTAAAGTGTAAAATATACACATCACAATTTGCTGCGTCTTTAGAACTGTGATTATTTGACTGGGAGGTAAATTCTAGCAACTGTACATCCAGGTAGGTGAGTGCAGTTTCCTGAAATCAACTTTTGTGCAGCTACACGGTTCAGATATGAACATTTCTGACGAATGGTATAAAATAAACTGCTGTTTAGATAGAAAAGGATTATCTTGTGTAATTGTAAAGAAGACCACTTTTCTTTTAGTACAAAACCTTTTTTTTATTCTTTATGATCAAAACTGCAAAACATCTAGAAAAATATAGAACAAATGCTTAACCTCTCACAACATTTACTTTCTGAAAACTGGAACCTAAAAGAAGAGAAATATTCACATTTTCCCCAATATTGATAAAAGAATGTTCACTTTTATTTATTTTTTTCCCAAGGTTCGTCAATCTGCTTTTCTTTCTTTGTTTTTTTTTTAAACATCTCCGCAGTAGCCGGAGTCGTTGGAGAGCTGTGAGTTAGAGCTGCGGTTGGACGAAGAGTTCCATATGTCCAGATTCATGTGAGGCCCAAACGGGTTGAAGTTGGAGTACTGGATGGGCCTGTAGGTCCCCTCGGACTCCCGGTTGAATGGAGAGTGAGGTGGGGTCATGGGTGTGATGGGGGACATGGGGGACACGGGGGCCGATCGCTCAGGTGGGAAGTGGCTCTGGGGCGTCCAGATGGAGCCGAAGAGGCTGGACATGGGGGACAGGCTGCGCGTACCAGAGAAGTATGGCTGCAGGAAGAAAGAAGTCATTAAATCATGGTCCACTGAAGAGTTTGTGTACGATCTGTTGCTTAGGTTCCTATTTAAAAAAAATCACTTTTTCAGACTCAAATTTGAAGATTTTACTATCAATTATTGAGACATTTTTGACATGGAAACATCTGTAAATGTACTTTTTTTTGTCCTTTAGCAAATAGTTTTTTTTTTCCCCACAGATTTTATACATGTCTGATGGTAATTTTCTACTACAGCAAAAGACGTACGTTTACCTTTAATCCTCTCGATTTATGTTAAACCCTTCCCACGCTTACAATTTTCTAAACAATGTTTCTAAACTCTAAATGCTCTAAAAGAGCACAGAATGTCATGATTTCAGCTCCCTGCTTCCTCTGCTCTTTGCCATCTGCAAGCGCTCTTGGCCACGCCCACTTCTCCGCTCTGCACGTTCAACATTTGGTCCGGTCTGTTCTCTACTCTGTTGGCCATTTTAGTTAGCTTCTGCTGCTATTTGTATCTGTATTTCTATTTTATGTTTTCCTGTCTGCTGTGCATGTTTGGTTCTTTTGTACAGCACTTTGGTTGGCCTTGTTGCTGTTTTAAGTGCTATATAAATAAATTGGTATGGTATGGTATGGTAACATCTGATCAGCTGTTTAACTGCAGCAGTAAGGGCTGTACAAAGCTGCAGGAAGAAGCTTCTTCTGCAGCTCTGGGCTGCACAAATGTGCAACAGGTGCTAAATAATTTTAAATAAATTTATTTTAAATAAAAATGTCATGCCGATCGTGCAGCTCATCCATCAATCAGCCAATTGTGTGTCATGTCCACTATTATTTTGAAAAAC